AAAATACCGGGAGCACATACAGAATCGTGCTGGTGGAATATGAAGCTCTTGTACGGTAAACGAGAGTAACACTCTATAAATTGATATAACCAGCGACAATAACAATAACCGATGCTGATAAGTGTATCCGCAGTATTGATTGAATTAAAAAAAAAATACATATTCCAATTATAGATGCAAAAGTAAATTAAATCATCCACATCGGTGTTACAACCACGTAGCATTCCGGGCATCACGATGAATCAACCGTCATATTTTATATTTTGCATATTTCAGGAAATCCCGATCATCGGAATCCGAAATGAAAATGCCTCCCCAAACCATTAAACCGACTCGAAACTCAATAGACCTTAAATATCCCTTCCCCCAGAAAGTTCGTTCCCGGTTTCCAAATGAAGTGGTAATACGAGCAAATTTCCGCATTGCCGATCGTCGAAAAACTTATCAGGACAAAAAGACTCCCCCCGCCACTCGTTTAAAATGACCCCCGAGGCGAATTTCGCCGACCGCGAATCAGATGCGCGGGAATCCAAGATGAGGAAGCGCCCGAGGGCCGCACTTCTGATTTCGACGTTGGTGGTGATGGAAAATCGAATAAGACACGCGCGTCGAAACTGCGGAAACGGGGAAGGAAAAGTTCCTTGTTTCACTTTCTGGGATGTGTAGTCGGCGTTTGAATATCGTGTTTATGTACTGCGTGTGTTTGAACGACAACTTTGGTAAGTACGAAGGAATATTTTTTCTTTCGAATAAAAACTTAGGGAAAGTGTCAAATCATGAACGTAACACGGATGTATTATATCCTAACAGTACACTGAGAGAAAAAAACAATAAAAATTATAGAGAAATTCCAGTAAGAACTACCATTATGCACAGTAAATCGGATGCAAGTTAACAAAAAAGGAAAAAAATTTTTACTCTCAATAGTATAAATTATTGTTTTAACAGTTGAAATTATGGTTAAAACAGTGAAAATTACAATGCTGGAACAATAGACCATTAAAGGATCGGTGAGTAAATTTTACTTTTCCACATAGAAATTTTTACTGTTCTAACTATAATTCTAACTATTTAAACTCCAATTTTAACTGTGAAACAATAATCTTTACTGCTAAAAATAATAATTTTTTCCTTTCTTTCCAGCTCGCGCCCGATTTATTGTGCGGAATGGTAATTTTCGCTGGAATTTCTCTATAATTTTTTTTTTTTTTTTCTCAGTGTCAGTACATTGGCGTATTGTTTTTTTTTTACTAATTATCAACAAATAAGAAGTTTTAATGCAACCCTATGGTCTCTTTTCAGTGTACAATGCATCCAATGAGGTTCACCCACGTCACGTGAAGCAAATATGTCGTTTGAATGCAGCAGCAAGATGAAAAACAAAACAATCTTGTTTCTTCGTGTCTCCTTCTTCAAAAGTATATAAACATAAAGTACCTACACGTAGAAGTTAAATTGAAGTAGGAAAAAAAAATAAAACCGCCCCCAGTATACATGTACACAAGAGCAAAGACGGAAAACAGAAGCAAAATGAAGATAAAAACAAAACAAAACAATAAAAGAAGGAAAAAAAACAGGGGAAAAAAATTGGCGCGGAATCTCAAGGGGTGCAGGGTAGGGAAAATCTATTGGGAAGAGAAGCTCGAACATGATTTTCTTTCCTGTACCCCCACCCACCCCATCTTTCTACGGGTGCAGGGGCCGGTGGGGGGTGAGAACGTATGTGTGCCATTGCTTTCCTATATTGATCCGAGGCGGGGAATTTATCGAGAACCCAAGAGCCAAACTCTGAATCGTGGAGCCGTGAATTTAAACACTCCGCGTGCTCCTGTAGATTTTCTGAAAATCGCGCGATTCGGGCTACTGGGCTCTGGCTTGCGAACGCACTTAGGCTACTTTAAGACTGATTAGGTGTGCTTTTTCAATATCCAATGGAATTTTAACAGTTCGTCGGGACTAACCAGCCATTTTTGTCTCATTTCACATGTTTATATTTCTCATCGATACAAGTGAACAACATCATAAGGAGTTCTGAGTACCTAGATCTCCTTAATTTACAGTTGCAAAAAAATGCACGTTAACCCAATGAAATGGTCACCCCGGATTTAACCACATCGTCCAATAAATCCTGAAGCATGGAATCCCATAACCCAGTAACATACATATACATGTGTACCTTATCTCTAAGTTGTATGATTAAAAACTCCATGGTTATCCGGCTATGGAGTTTAATGCTTCGGGATCTGTGAGGTCATGTGCGAGGGTCATGTGGTGATGTGGTTAAAGGCTCTGGGATTATAGGGTTATGGGGTGTATTTTTAAATTTACCGACAGTCTGGAACTAATTTTGAAAGCCCTGCATTGCATCTGTTATTCATTACCTACATTTGATACTTACAATGAAATCCCTTAATCTTACCAACAACTTCGATTTCATTAGTTTTAACGAAATAATGATACGATGCCTGTAGGCATCAATCAAGTCAGAGATTTTTTGTAGAAATTAGTGGAGAGTTCAAAAAGAGTAATGATAATTCACAATCGACTCAAGGTTATGAATCATCAACTCTTTATCTTTGTTCCTTTTTTATGATTTTCCGTAAAAATAGATGCATAGTAATCAACCACGAACACGGACAAATATAGGGGAGTCAGTGAAGTATAAAAAAACCTAACTGGTAAACTGGACGCCCTGGCATAGATATTACGGAGCAAATCTTTTTCTGTATACCCCCACCGAAAGTGCTTCATATCTGCCCTGCTCCAAAACAGATAATCAGCTCTTTCGACGAGGGGATGCAGAAAAATAGTATACGCACCACGTTCGGAGGTTAAGAAATGCCCTAGATCTCACGTTATCCACCCTCGGCTTCGCTTCGGGCGTTTATTCACGTGAAATCAGCGACATTCTTAACCTCGCTCACTAGGTGCGTAATATACTAATTCTGTCTCATTAACCAACAGATGGTAATCATTACCGATCAACGAAAGCACTCGTTTTCCTTATTCGGATTCTAAACCAAAAAATAATCTCAATTCCACAATCTTTGTTTGCAAATAAAGAAACAAACGTCCTTTTGAAACTGAGTAAAGAAAGATCTCACTTCCATACCGAACACTCTTCAAAAGCTTCCAGAACCACCATCACTACACCCCCCACCCCATACGTAAAAGTTGCGTTTCATCCACTGAATAACGAGAGCCTCGCCGGCGCGCAACCTAACGAGCCGTCATTGCACACGCGCACCCCAAGAACTTTACCCGCCTGCAGTTTACCGCGGAAGCTCAGGCTGAATTTTCACTTCACCCGCGTTCATACGTAATCACGGGAGTATGTGCGTCTCTACACACTTTGGTATCCAATAGCCGAGCAAGTTGTTACACATATCTGGATGGAATACGAGCGAATTATGCAGCGATCCGGTTTGAAATCAACTTTGTGCGAGATACACACACACACACACACACATAGGCGTACATACGCGCGTTTGGTTGATTCGAGAGAGTCGAAGATATAGATACCGCGATTTTGCTTGGGTGTGCGTCGAGTTGCCGATGAACAGGAGTCGCTGGTGCTGATTTCGAAAATGTGACTTCGCTGTCTGTATGTTAGATGTTACGGGAGCCGCGATTCGTACACACTCGAGTGTGCCAATTAGCCGCTCGGGGAGCTGCTTTGCTGGGACTATTCGCTCCAGGTGCGAGTGATGTGTCTGCTCGACAAACGGAGACTTGTGCTTTTGGTCCTGTTAACCTAGAGGGATTATAACTTTTCTTGGCAATCAAAGAATTTCTCTTTACTCGTCAGTTTATTCGAAATATTGGTAAATCATGGGAGTTACACGGAGCGAGAGAAATTTTAGAAAAACAAAACAAAGAACTAATTTAGAATCTCTTATTGATCGTGTGCATATGCACTGACCCGCAAAAAATCATGGAAACAACTGAGAGCAGATCTACATGTTCAAGAAACAACATAAAACATAAAGAGCTTTTTACTGTTTGATACAGAAATTTTAATCATCGGTACAGTGATGTTTTCTGTCTGTACTATGGAACTTACTGTCCAGCACTGGATAGTAGAATGACACCAAATTACCATTCTATAGCACAGTAATTTTCATTATTTTCTATCTCTCGGTATAGGTGCGTGTGTGTTGCACATAACAATATACCTTAAACTTTTTAACTTTAACCGCTTTTAATTTATGTGTAATTTGTTGAAAAGTATTCTTAAAAGGCGATTTTTTAATTCAACAAAGACAAGTATTTCGGTCACGATGGGAATCCTCCCAAAATCGATTTCTCTCGGATTCCATTAAAATTTGATCTGAAGGCTTTTTGATTGCACTGAATGATACCTTTAGTTTTTAAATTGGTTATTCGCGAATAATTTTCGAGAAACAAGCTTTGAAAGTTTACATTTTTATGTTGACATCAGCTTTTTGTGATTATGAAACTTTTAAAATCGTTTAGAATAATTTAAAATATTTTTGAAGCAGCATCATATTTATAAATTCTTTTTTTCTAGTTAACAAATAAATAGTTATGAAGTAAAAATATTTCAAATACTTGTAAATAAATATTGATGCAGGAAAACTTTGTATGTGTAACGATGGATTTGGAAGATTTAAAAAAAATTGAGCTATTATGATGAATCTAATAAACTTATTAAACAACCACCATCATTTTATTTAAATTATATTAATAGGTGTGTAAAAAATGCATCAGAAGGAAAACAATTTTGATCGTAAAGTAGTTTCTTCCAAAAAGCAACTATTTCAAACATGCAGTATGTACGTTTTTTGTCTTGAATTGTAGATACCATTATAAATGGAAATATAAATACAAAGGTAGCAAAATGTTAATAAACAATAAGCTATTCAAAAATCTAGTCTTGTATTGAAATTTAACTTTATTAATTAATGAAAAAACATGTTTGATTTTCATTGATTTAAAAAAAAAATTTTTATTTCTACGTAAAGTACAAAGGTCTAAATTCAATTACAAGTAGAAGAAAATAGAATCTTAGTGTTTTCATCAACTCCATTTAACGATGATCTAGATAAACTTGTCAAAGGATTCCCTCGAACATCCAGTAAAGTAAGGTGAGAAGATGGATAAATTTGTATATCTTTCATATCTTCAATAACATTACTACTAACGTTTATAAATCTTATTTTAGAATCAGACTGATAACTCAATATCAATACTTTAAGAACATTATTTGATAAATTTAGTTCTTCCAAGTTATAAAAATTTTTCAGAAAACTATTAGATATTTCTGTAAGCGAATTACCACTCATAGAGAGATATTTACAACTTGAACTAGAGATATTATCCAAAAAATCTCTAATCCACGCCAAATTTATATTATCTAAGATTAATGTTTCTAATGTCGCTAACCACGAATAACAATTCTCACAAATGCCCAACAATGGATTACTTCCAATATTCAAACGCCGTAATAGAGATAGTTTGACCAGTTCCTCTCCAAGATGAGGAATCGTGTTACTTGACAGATCTAATTCTTCCAAACATAGTCCTTCTTCCAATGTAATTCTATTTACGTTACAGCTCGACAGATGTAAAGTTCTAATATTATTCGGTAGACGTAAGCAAACAGTTTGATTGACGCTTGAATAACACGTTCCATTGGCACTAAGGAGTACAACATTCCCAATATTATTATGGCTAAGAGAAATGTTGTGAATATTTGGTAAGGAATAGGCCGATGTGGTGTTAATGCTAGAGAAACCGGTATTTTCTATACAAAGTGACTGTACAGTTTTCGGTAAATAAGTAAACACATCCTTGTGATTTAAATTGTTGCGGGACAAGTCCAAGTGAGATAGACCGAAAAACTGTATGCTAAGTTCTGGTGAAATGGTTTTCAATCCAACGTTGCGAAGAGAAAGAAACTTAAGCTTTGGATAGTTGTGAGATATTTTAATTTCCAAGTCCGTAGAAGATGCGTTCTCGTGGAAGTTGTCGTCAAAAATTATTGCTTCTACGTTTTTGTGATGTCCAAAGGCAAAAAAGTCCTTTGGCAAAAGATTATTGTTGGATAAATCCAGTACCTTCATTCGCGGCAAACCAGAAAATGCTCCATCGGCGATGCTTTTGATTCCATTATTTTGCAAAATAACGTACTCTACTGCCTCGTTAGTAACAAATCTTTCAGATAAGTGTGGAAGTAAGGCACTTGAAAATCTTAAGGTGTTGGTATTTCTCAATCCATTGAATGTATCGTAAAAACAGCCATTTGTCCCTGAACCAATGTACAGCAGTACAATGGCTAGATAAGTTATTTTGCACATTTCTAACGGTGTAAGTACTGGATTAGAAACAATTAGTTTATACGGCGGAAAAAAAATGGTGCCTTTTATATACGCGAGACAATGATAAAACTACTTGAGAAAACTTTTATCACTTATCAATTTTAATGTCGTACCCAGAATCAAAAGATTATGAGTCATAGATTATCATCAATTTAATAGAATAGTTAAACTATTTATAAAAAAAAATCATACGTATCTCTAAAATGATATAAAAGTATATTCTGATACATTCTCTGTTACGCGATGACGCAAGATTTTATGTTTGTTTTATGACCTTATTAGGACTACAGTTTGTAAATTTGTCGAAGATATACTGTGACAACGATTACATAAAAGAAAGCTATTTATAACCTTTTTTTTCAATGAACAAATCACTATTAAAGATTTACCCAATATCGCGTTAAATAAAAAAGTATTTGAAATACATGATTTTTTAATTTCAAGTTTTGAAAATTCATTAAACCGTATGAAATGAACACCAAGTGTATATATTTATAATATTTGTCAATTTTAAACTATCTCAATTAACAGCGTATAACGTCCGTTATTATTTATAGAAATTCAGGGTAACCTTCGAGTGTTTACATTCGTTTCCAGCGTGACACGACGTTAGCCAATGAAATTTCAGGAAACTAGACTTTTCTTTAACCTCATAAAATTGTCACAAAAAATTCAAACTCTAAGAGAGACGAAATCTTTTAGCATTATTATTTATTCTTGGAACTATAAATAGTCCAAGATAAACAATTCAGTACAGCACTGGAAACGTACAGAGAATTTGTATCAATAGTAACATGCAGTTTACACAGAAATTTATAATACAACAAGGTGACACCATTTTACCAGATAAATCATGGTAGTGGTAAATAACGAATCAATTATATTTTTTAGACTGAAAGCAATTGTTGATAAAAATAATCACTTTATATGATAAATAATTTGTCAATGGTATTACGGTGCATTGAAGATTGATGGATACATCGATACCGCGATTTTGCACGGGTGTGCGTCGAATTGCCGATGGTGCTGATTTCGTAGTCGAAAACGTGTCTTTGCTGTCTATGTTTGATGTTACGAGATCTGGGCCAATTAGCCGCTCGAGGAACTGCTTTGCTGTAACCTATTCGTTGCAGGTGTTAGTTCTTCGTCTACCGATAAACGGATTCTTGCGATTTTGCATTTCAAAAAGTTTATTTGAAACTTTAATAAATCACGTGAAAAGTACTTATATTAGGGTATTTGTCAAAAACTGTATGGAAAAATGTAAGTGAAATAAAAATATAGGCTCAGTGTAGAAACTTTAAAAGATTGTATGAAGATTTGAAGTAATAACAATCTATGGAATGTGGCGCAAGAAAAAGAAATTTTCTTGAAATATGAAATGGGACAATGTCGACAAGGAAGCACTACTTACTCGATTAAAGATTATTAAAACAGTTTCAAAATAATTTTTGTTAGTGTACTGTTAGTACACGAATATGCGAATAAATATCAAACAATATTTTATGAAAACATCAGTGAGAGGTTTTAATGATGAGTGTGCTAATACAATGTCATCTTGACCGATTCGTTTAATACCAAAAAAATCCAGGAAATACATTTTCTTAACGTGTCAAAGACGGTCGTATGGACCGCACCAATTACAAACTCGGCACATAATCTGTAGATACGCACGCAATGTAGCTGAAATGACCTAAGGTGATGAATTATCAGGGTACTCCCTTGACTACATTTATTTATTAAAATTAGAATTATGTTTGTGTAGTCCCATTCAGTAAGGGCATGAAAGAACTTTACATAAAAACTAGTGACATGTGTAAATTTTGTCTCAAATTTTCACATAAACTAATATCAAGCATTGCACAAATACTTTCAAATAATTTGTGGAATGTACTTTAGCAACTAAAATATAATGGTACGAAATTATCATGTCATCAAATCAGATTTTATTGATGAAAGAAAATAAAAAATAAGTAAAAGAGAGGACTAGCTTACTTGCCTAATGTCATATCAGAAAAAAATCAACCGCACGTGCGTATATTCTATACGTTGTGAAGATTATTCTGTAAGATTATTGTTATCATATCATCAATCCAAATAAATTTTATAAAATTTAATTATCTGTGTTTAGATTTTCGATGTCGAACAAAGCACCCCACACGTCGTCACTCACCACACTTCTTTTAGTCAACTTTATCCCAAAATTCAATCATCATCGACGAAACAGCTTGAATTATAAGATAACCAATATGTACGAAGTATTGAGCCAAGCGATTACCACTAGAGTCATCACAGCTTATCCGTAAAATCCTTAGAAAATAGAAAATCAGTACCAGTCCTAATTTACCACCAATGACAGCTGACTTGTCGAGGAATTATTAGGTTATATCTTCCAAAATTCCTTTAAGTTTGACCAAAAAATTGTTCATTCGGTCTCGATATCAATCGGTACGTGACATGTGAGTCTTATCGACCTAGTCATCATATCTAATAATGTTTCAGAATATTCGGCCCACTTGTGCACTGTTCCATGATTCATAAACATTTCGGTTTCTTTATCAATCGGAGCATTTATATCTGGATCTTATCGACGTAGTATGATATCGAATTATCTTCCCAAATAATCTGTTAACTTGTGCGTTATTTTATTAACCATAAAAATCACAAATGTTTTTCTTAGACACTTGAAATCCTTAAGGTTTTTACATCGTTTATTTCATCAAATGGATCGTAAAAACAGCCATTCGTCCCTAAACCGGTAAATAGTATAATGGCTAGATAAATTATTTTGCACATTTCGATCAAAGTAAGTACTGGATGAAACCAATAAATTTACTCGTGTAATCTGATAAAATAACAAGATGAAACTATCTTACTCGATAAACTATGACGTATAAAATCAAAATTTACTGCTATTTTTTATCGATTCCAGTACTTTGTTTTGACTAAAAGCGATCGCTTAATAAGATAATTATTTTGATTGCTAAATATTTTTTATGATTAATATAATCATGAAATCATAAAACATAGTTAGTTACACAATCGAATGAAATAACTACATGATAAAAAAAATTTAGTTCAGCTATTATTACAATTTAATGATAACTTCTTTTTCACGGTAACTTTTCCACTTGTTGATGCAACATTTTGTACATTCTTTTTACCTGATGGTGACGACGTTTGACTGTTTTTCAAAAATATTGTAAAAAAGATTTTTTCTAATAGCAATAAATAATCTCTTTAAAAAAAATCCTACTAATAAGTGTTGATACGTAGTAAAAAAAATTAAGTATGAAAATTTCATTTCAATACACCTCTAAATTTTTTGATACAAATAACTAAGTCAAATAACGAATGTAATAGTTTTTAGACTGGATTACATGGTGGATATAATGTACACTTTGTAACGGGACAATTTAAACAAAAACTCAACCATTTATTTAAAATTTTTAATATTTTTAAAATGATTCATTCGGAAAAAGTTATTCAATATTACAACAAAAATGTTTCGTAGGACGCATAATTTAAACATAAACTATGATGTGGTATATTAATTTGTAGTTGGTTAGAAATATTGATTACTGAAAATAATGAAAATTATAAAAATAATAAGTCATATTCAGATCAAAATTTATATTTTATTACCAATGTAACGTACAACTAAGTTAATTACAATTTGGAGAAAACAAAATATTAGTATCCATGCGTATTCCACTTAACGACGATATGGTAAATCTCGTCAACGGATTTCGCCTAACGTCTAATAACTGCAGATTATAATGACGAAACACTCTTATATCTTTGAAGTCTTCAATAATATTGTCACTTGCATTCACACGTGTAAGAGTATAAAAATTTGTTATAAGATAATTTAAATCCAATCCTTTGAGCAAATTATTCGACAGATTGAACTCTACCGCATTTTCAAAGCTCTGCATCATAGTATAAGGTAGTTTTGTAAGTAAATTGCCACTAATTGAAAGATATTTTATACTCGAAACAGGCATTGAGTTTAAAAATGTATCAGCCAATGCTGGATTCACATTATCCAGGATTAATACTTCCAAGCGAGCCAACCATCCATAACATGCATCACATATGCTCGACAATGGATTATTTCCAATATTCAAGTGTTTCAGTACATCTAAATAAACTAAGCTGTCGTTACTTAAATAATAAATCTGATTGCTCGATAAATCTAATTTTTCCATAGGTAGTTTCTCCTTCACTACGAATCTACTTAGACTACAGTTTGCTGCGAGGAAAGTTGTAACGTGTGGTAGGCGTAAGCAAACAATTGGATTGGCACTTGAATCGCACTTTCCATTAGCACCAGTAAGTACTACATCACCAATATTATTATGATTTAGAGAAATGTTACGAATATTTGGTAAGGAATAGGCCGATGTGGTGTTAATACTAGAGAAACCGCTATTTTCAATGCAAAGTGACTGTACTGTATCTGGTAAGTGAGTAAACACATCCTTGTGATTTAAATTGTTGCGGGACAAGTCCAAGTGAGATAGACCAACAAAATATGTGCTAAAGTCCGATGAGATGGTTATCAATCCAACGTTGCGAAGAGAAAGAAACTTAAGCTTTGGATAGTTGTGAGATATTTTAATTTCCAAGTCCGTAGAAGATGCGTTCTCGTGGAAGTTGTCGTCAAAAATTATTGCTTCTACGTTTTTGTGATGTCCAAAGGCAAAAAAGTCCTTTGGCAAAAGATTATTGTTGGATAAATCCAGTACCTTCATTCGCGGCAAACCAGAAAATGCCCCATTGGCGATGCTTTTGATTCCGTTATTCCGCAAGATTACGTATTCTGCCGTTTTACTACTGGTGAAACTTTTGGATAAGTGTGGGAGTTTGTTGTTTAATAATCTTAAGCTGTTGGTATTGTTCAGTCCGAAAAATGGATCGTAAAAACAGCTATTTATTCCGGAAATGGTAAACAGCAGTGCAATGGCTAAAAAAGT